AACTCTGTCCTTCTTTTAAGTCATTTTCTCTCTGGTTTTCTGATTAGGTAGCTTCCATTGTTCTATCTTCAAGTTCATTAAGTATTCCTCTGTCCTCTCTATTCTGTTTTTAAGCTCCAGTCTGTTTATTTTGGTAATTGTATTGATCAATTGTTAAATACCTATTTGTTTCTTCTTTATACCTTCTATTTCTTTGCTGAGGCTTTTAATTTTTTCACTTGTTTTGAGGGTGTTTATACTTGCTCATCAAAGCATTTTTATGATGGTTGCTTTAGAATCTTTATCAGATAAATCTAATGTCTCTGTTACTTGGAGTTGGCAAATATTGGTTTTTTTTTCCTTTATAATTGAGCTTTTCCTGGTTCATGATACGATGAGTGATTTTCCTGAATGTTCTGAGTGCTCCACTGAGACTCTGAATTTTACTCAGACCTTCAGTTTTAGCCGGCTCCCTCTGACACTGCTCCGGCAGGAGGGTGGAGGGCGGCACCTCGTCTAGGCCAGGTGAAGGCGTCTGTCCGGGCTCTCCATGTGGTTCCTAGTACTGCTGGGGTCACAGTTACTGGTAAGTAAATTGCTGCTTGTTTCTTTTAATGTGACTTAATCACTTTCATTTTACTGATGCTTCTCTTACTTATCTACTCTATCTCTCTCTTTTTTTAGTTCAGAAACATACTCTTGAAACGAATGTTCTCTAATTTGGAAGTCAGTAGGGAACATTCCTAAGTGTCAGAGCCAGGGACTTCCAAGTGACTCTCTGAAGGCGTGAGTGACATATGGCACCTCACTTCTGCCCGCCCTCTCATGCCCGCTCTGTCCGTCTCACCGGACCCCTAAGGTGTGATGCTGCACATTGACAGCAGCGCTTTGTAACCTACAGGCTGTGGACACTTCAGAGTCCACAGAGTCCCTGAAGCCCCCTCCCCTACCGAATATACATTTCTCTCTGGTGAGTCAGTGGTTTTCATCAGATTCCTAAACAACATCATGACCACAGAGGTTAAGAACCACTGCAGCAGATTAAGAATGGGAACATCAAAACTGCGTGCTCTGAACCAGCCATTTGAGGGGCTGGAAATTGGGGTGCAGGCCGGAGTCCTGCTCTGAGATACGGGCTGGGTCATGCTCTGAGACCGCCCTGAGTGTGCCAGGTGAGCTACTACCTGTGCCGGAAGAAGAGGTGTGATGTCCAGAACCATGGCCTGTGCCCCCTGTCCACGTCCAGGAAAGATGCAAAAGATCCTCAAAATGTAAAATGCTTCAACAAAAGGCAATGCAAATGGAACAGCCATTACAGTGCACTGGGAGAAACTGGGGAAGAAGTCTGACTTTTTCCAACCCGACTTCAGCTAATAGAGCTCAACCAGCAAAGCCACTGCCCGGCCCGGAGCGAGGGAGTCCGCAGCGGCAGAGCTCACAGGAAGCAGGAGGATCACCAACAAGACAGCCCTGAGGAGGACACTCGCTCTTGAGGGCCAAGAAGTCAAATCAGTGGCTAACAAAATCCTCCAAGGAGAAATGGAAAGAAAGGAAAGTGGATCAGAGGCAGGAGGAAGTGGCAGGAAGGCATGTGCAGGGACCCCTGGGCAGTCCTGCGGGAGCAGCCAGGAGGGTTTCAGCTGAGCCCAGCGGGGCTGGAGCCCAAACCAACTCAGAGCTGGGCTGAGTGGGCCCCTTTCCAGGGGAGGCTGGGGCCTAACTGAATCTGGACAAATGTTTGATTCGGAAGCGTTTCTGATTCCTGTTTCGAACTCAGCCTTTGAAACCCTTATTCAAGCTATTTCATCCCATTACTTCCAGAGTTTTGAAGACAAGAAAGAATATCTAGGACTTCCAGTCTAAAGAGAACATTAGTTTCAAAAGGTGAAGAATATGCCTTCCCTTTCTCCTCTCCAGGTAACCAGAGAGCCCACAAAACTCAGGGAGGCAGGCTTCCTGCAGAACAAAACTGAACTGTGCCTAGACTTACAGGTCACATAAGCTTGGGAAGAGAAGGATGCGTTCAGGCTACACCTCTGCTAGCAAATGGTCACCAAAGGTCCTAGAAGATCTGGCCCATTAACTACATACGCCTGAAAAAATCGGGGCCAAGGTGGAGCTTTCAAAGTCCTCTATTCATTAAAATCCGTTCATTCAAGGATAGATTTGAAAGAACGTGCTGCATCTGGGCACCAGGAGATGCAAAAGGTACACAAGTCAGGGCCCCTTGAAGAATTTCCACTCACCTTGCAGTGGCTACATAACCTAATTGTTTAAAAGGGGAACTGGCATATGGTCCCCAACCACGAACAGCGCTAAAGGGACCGGGTAGCTGGGAGCAATCACAATGAGGGTGCCTGAGAAGTGATGACCCTTCAGCCTCCCAGAGTGGTCAGGACTTGGCGACACACACTCTCATGACCTCATGTGCTTCTCAAAACAACTCTGTGGAGCAGGCATTCTTCCCACTTTTAAAATGACAAAACTATATCCAAGGGGGTTAAAAGACGTCTCAAATCACAAAACTAGTAAACCCAAGTGTTCTCTTCACTACCCAGTGCTACCGAGGATGCACATTTGCATTCAGAACCAAGCAAGAGACCCAGTGGCTTTTGCAGAGTCAAACAGAAGTCTGGGGAAGGCCAGGCCTTAACGCCAGTCCTCAGGGCAGACTTTCTGATGCTCCAAGATCTTTCACTTGGCACCCAGAGAACATGCTACAAAGATGACCGAGGGATACTTCTGAGGATGTGAGGCAACCTCACCAGAAGGACACAAGGAAGACAGAATGGAACTGGGTACAAGGAAGGGTGTCACGTGAAGGCTGGCGATGGCCAGCACCACCGCCCACCCCACGCTCTCCCATCCTGAGTGTCCAGATGTCTGTCTGGGCTCCTGAGGTTTGTCTTTGCCGCTGAGGGTACTGGCTGTTTCTTTCAAGAGCGGTAAATACAATGGCTGCACTCATGTCCCGCATGGGGAACAGAAGCAGCTCCAATCTCTTCTGACTTCTCTGAGTTGGCATCAGGCGCTCAGGAAGCCTGAAGGGACAGAAGAGTCCCTTCACACTGAGTCTTACCAGAGGGTCCTGTTTAACTGGGCCTGTCCAGGGGGAGAGAACAGAGCTTGGATCCCAGCCTGGATTTAATGACTTGTTCACATGTCTGTCTCCCCTTCTAAACTGTAAGGACAATACTGGGTCTTATTCAGAAGCATTTAACCAATGCGTGTTGAATTAAATGGAAACAACTGGACCTGGCTCTGCCTCCATTTGACTTTAGATGAGCTCCTGAATGTCTCCAAGCCTCAGCAACTTTGATTTTCAGACGGGAATGGAAACGCCTGGCCCACTGACCTCGGTGGCTGTCCTCATCCTGGGGACCAGACCAGATCAGGTCATGGATGCATGAGCGCTAAGTACTTTCCAGTCCCACAGAAACATGAAGGATCAATATGATCACCTACAAAACACCTGCCTGCAGGTAACCCTGGGTTGGGTACATCACATACTTGGGAGATGTCCTCCATGTTATTTTTCTGTCAGAAGTTTCACAAAATAGACCCTTGATACAGATTTTCTGTCTGAGTTGACCAATCAGTACGTGCTAGACCAGAAAAGGAAATTTCCCCTGAGACTGCAAGAGATAGCCAGGTGTCCTTCCCTCTGTGTAGGTAAAGATGTCAGACAAGGTGACAAGAACGGAGAAGCTGTGTGCCTTCGGGAATCCGCGTTCTTCCTGTTGATCATGGCTGACTCCATTAGCGATCAGGAAAAGGCAACGCGGCTGGCAGTCAACACCAACTGGCATCAGGGAACCTCATTCTTAAAGAGCCCTTCAGGCATTCGCCATTCTTCTCAGCTAAACAGGGGCAGCTGCCCGTGCTGTGGGACCGCGCAGTCCCCAGACACTCCCTGGGCGATTCCAACGCAGGGCCCGGACCTCTCCCTGCCGCTCCTGTGCAGACAAGGGCACTGCGGCCCCGAAGACCCCACTAGAGTGTCAGGTGCTCCCTCACATCAGGCCTTCGCATGAAGCCAGAGCCTGGACCCGATGGGCAGGGGAGCTCCCCGTTGGGAAGCCATGGTTTTGGGGAGAGGGAGCTTTGCCCACGCCGAAGGCCAGGGCGGCAGAGAGCCCTGGGCCCGGGCAGAGGAGACTCACTAGGAGGGCAAGTAAATGCCACACTTTGGCAATGTATTCCAACAGCGACCCAACTGCCCCATTTAACTTCTTCTCACTCATCGCTGCCATTGTGTGGCCTCCCTCGCCCCTCCAACAACGAACACTTCCTAAGTGCTGGTACCTCACATGGCACGGATCTGGTTACAGCGATAACCACAAGGACCTCACGGTGTCTTGGGGACGGTGGGCAGGCCACCTGCCCCTACTCCTATGAGATAAGCACTCTGCTGGCAGTGTGAAAAGAGCTGTAGGAGAACAGGGAGAAAACCAGCCTTGCGCTGGGGCGGAGTCATTTTTGGCAGGGGAAACAGCTGGGCAAAGGCCCAAGTGCAAGTAGCTCAGGGTGTCCTGGGTCGGGAGGAGCGGCCCAGGGCACATGGGCTGTGTGGGAAGAGGGGGGAGGTTGCAAAGGTGGGCGGCAGACGTGCAGATGGTCCAGGGGCTGGCCTGCCAGGCCGGGAGTACAGACTGTGTCCTGTGGACAGTGGGTGGGAGGCGGGGGTGTCGTGGAGAAGGGCGACCTATTCACCGCAAGCTCTGAGGCCAGTCTGCATCAGCGAGAGCTGGCGATTGTAGATTGTCATGACTTTTGTGAGCTGGCTGGTTTTACATCAATAGTTTATAAGTCAACCATGGTGGCATGTTTAGACCATAGATATCTGCAAACATCACAACTCAGCAGTTTTCAGAGCTGGTGGCTAAGCGTTTACGGGTACGTGGGTGCGCGTGCATGCAGACGCACACGCGTGGAGTTGCTACAAATCACGAGGAAGAGGCCCGGCCGCAGCCGGGAAGGGGTCTGCGGCAGAGCAACGCAAGACATGAAGAACAACTCACCAGCCTCAGGTTCTTCATCGCCTGGGGAAACATGCCTTGGTGCAGCTGCAATTTGCCAACTTTCATTACCTGCACGCCTCTGACGGGGTGGCTTCCAGGGAAGAAGATCCTGGAAGAAACCAAATGGCAGACAGCGTCAGTGGCTCGGTCCCTTGCGGTCAGCCTCGCGCCAGAAGACTGCGGGCGTCAGGGCCACCCTGGCTGTGCCTGCGGACAACGAGCTCCGGAGAGGGCGGGAGCCATCCTGAGGGGAGCAGGCTCGGCCCCAGTCCCCGCTCCCCGAACGCCCCGGCACTCGGGAAAAAGCGCCTGTACCGGAAAGCCTCTCTAACGCACACGCGAGGAGAGAAACCGGTGTGACCCGCCTTTACACTGGGGAGGTGGGGCGCCACCAGGGCCGGTCTGATCCTCCAAGTTCTCCCTGAAGCTCCAGCGCCCAGGGTGGCCGTGAGCAGAGGGGGCTCCCCGTAGCTACCCGTGAATGGGAAGTAAATGCATGGACGCTTTCACGGGGCCCCTTCCGACACCAGCCCGCCCTCCTTCTAGCTGAAAGCCCTTGGGTGGCAGGTGTGGAGCCCCTTCTTGTCCACCTTCTGCCAGGCCCATGGGCATTTATCGCCTCCCTGGATTACACAGCTCTTGGTTCAGGCGCGCCGCCCGTGTTTGCCACGATAGCCTGCATGTGGGAGGGACGCAAGACGTCTGTGACCTCTTTCACATGCGACGGAATCGAGGAGGGCACTGCGGCTGACCGAAGACTGAAAACGCAGGGCTATGGTTCAGACCCACTATCGCTGCAATTTGATTCGACATGGACCGATTGCATCAGATTCACCAGAAGTGCCCTGCGGCCTCCCGTGCCCGCCCCCCACCCCCGCATCCACTCCTCTTAGGGACTGCTGTGCCCCTGCTCGATACCCAGGGTTGTTCCTGGAGCTGGGGACACACGACAGTGTGTGTGTGTTTGCCTCCAGGCCTAATAATCCCATTAGACGCAAGACAAATATTCATACAATGGTTTAAAAGTATTACAAAACAGAACATTGACTTAGTGCCCAACAGAGGCCTCGCTTGGCGCATGGCAATGCTCTATTCCAGTGCATAGAACTGAACCGAGGGAATGGCAGAGGTGTCACGAAGGGAGGGGGGTGAGCGACGGCCGCGTGGACCAGCGGAGGCTTTCCGCAGGAGGGAACAGGCCTTCAGCTGGCTCCCGAGGGTTGGGGAAGGCCTGGCTGAGTGGGGAGAGGGACGTGCCTCCAACTGTCAGCACGAGCAGGCGCACGCTCCACAGGTGACGCGAGGGCCTGCCCGTGGATCCCAGCAACGACGTCTTGGAGTCACAACTTAGGGAGGGCCCGCCAGGGACCACGCACTCTTCACATAGAAACTTGGCCCTGCGCTGCCATTCCACTGTGGAACAGAGGCGAGGCGGGCTGACCAGGAGAAACGGAGTTCTCTGGCGATGCTGCCCGTATCTGCAAACCGTTTCCTCTCCCAGGGCCTCAGCTCTTCCCCCATGAAATGTGATATAGAAACGTTTTGTTCATGCTCTTTAAAAAGTGGGAAGCAGTACTTGAGAAGGAGGTATTGAAATCAGTAGAAGGTTGGCCATTCTTCTTTCAAAGAGCTGGAAAGGGAGGCGAGGGGGAGAAACAAAGGCCACACCTGGGTCCTGGATTCTCCCCGCAGAGGCTGCCAAGGGATCAGTCAGCCCACCTCGCCCCTCCTAGCAAGAACATCATTACCTACTTGCGCGGAAAAGATCTGGAGATCCCCAGACAAAAGGCTCAAGCTCAGGACACCATTGTCAGAGGGTAATTGTCCTGGACAGTTCTTTGAAAAGCACACCTGGGTTTGAGATTTGATTTTATTGCTATAGATGTGGCATAATTAAATTTAAAGGCCAAAAAGTAATTTTATACTAATAATCATCCCTCTAAGTGGAGGTCTGTCCTGTCCGTCAGCAGAAGGTTCTGCGATGGCAGAGGAAGCGGTGCATAAATGTGCCGTGACAGGTTGCTTCAAGGCATTAGAAAACGAAGGGAGGGTCACTCAGGGAGGACGAGGAGGGAGGGCCCACGGAGGCCTCCCTCGTGAGCTTGTGCAGAGCAGGCTGGAGCGCCGGCGGGGCGCGGATGGCGAGTCTGCGCTGTGTCTGCAGGCCTCCCGGCTGACAGTGGGATGAGAGGCGCCCTCGCTGGCCGAAGAGCAGCCAAGGACAACTGGAGACCTCTCTCCTGCTGGGACCAGTTCCCTACCGAGGGCAGAGCTCTCATCCACTTGACGGTGCGTGACAGTGACGAAGAGACAAGAGGGCCTGCGAGTTGTCTTCTGTCACACGCCTGTCCAACATCAAGGCCAGCGATGGCCTCATCCAGGGGAGGTGCTGCCGTGCGGGAGGGCGAAGAGGACTCACGGCGGGGCGGGGCGGGATGAGAAGGTGAGGGGCGGGTGTACCTATGGGATGACAGGCCCTCGCCCAGTGCCAGAAGGGCCTCTGGGCAGTCCGGGTGAGTCCCCGCCCCTCACTAGCAGACAGTCTAGTTGCAGACACGATGCAGAGGCGTGGCCCAGAGTGCAGTCAGACCCGGTGCTGACCGCAGGGTCCCGGCAGCAGGGAGGGCGTGGCTGCGGAGGGGCAGAGGCCGCTCGGCCCGGAAGAGGTAAGGGCTCCCTGGGCAGGCGTGCAGGGCACGGGAAGGGGCGGGAGGCTGCACACCGAGCGCGCTGGGCTGGTGCTCAGAGGAGGGGAGCAGAGAGGGGATGGGGGTGAGGGCTGGCTGCACGGAGACAGGAATGCGAAGCTAGGGCGTTTGAACTTCCGCTCGCAGGCAGCCTGGCACCACTGCAGGGCACTGAGCGTGTTTCATCAGAATAGGAAACAGAGGAAATTGGAAAAGAGTCCCTAAGGCAGGATGGTGGTAATGGGAATAGAAAACAAGGATCTGATGCAAAAAAAGTTGTCAGCTGATTCAGTCGGACCTGGAGACGCCCGAGGTGGGGCAGGGTCAGAGCTGACGTTGAGACTCAGAAACGACTCAGAACGAGAACGCTGCCGGGAAACCACAAGTGAACGAGGCAGTACCGAAGTCACTGGGCGCAGTGCACTGTCTTCTCCCAGACCCAGAGCTAGCAACCGCACCCCCCAGGATGCTGGGTCGAGTGGGGAGCTGGCCTTCGGTGTTTCTGCGAACGAGTGCATGGGAAGGAATGTGTTCATTAAACAAGCAGAAAAAAGCAGCGCACATGCTCAGACACATATGCAGCGAGATCTCGCTGCCGTGTTTTACGAGGAGGAGGAGAGTTGGGGTGCTGGAAAGTCTCGAATTAAAAGGCTGCAGAGAAGAATATATGTCCCTGATGGCAGGACCCATGGGGTCGGCCTGGCTGAGGCTGTCCTACACGATGCAATTACCAGCCACATGCTCCATCACAGAGCGCGGCTTTGGCCTTTATTGGGGAGGAAAACCATGTATATTGTTCAGGACTATGTTTTTGGGAATGAACATAAAAACATTTCTAAATTTAAAAGGAGAACTTAACTTGCCTTTGTAAACTGTGCATCAGAGTAACCAAATAGCTCTAGTGTATGAATGTTAGCTGATAAGTGTGAGGGACAAATGGAATTTAAGCCCATAAATTTAAATTTCATTTCATAGGAAAAACAAATGATAGAGAAACAAATAAAAACAACCAGCTAAATCTGAGACATGGGAAATTCAGCAGGCTCTTGACACAGGATCTTCAAAGGTCAATGGTGTGAAAAGGAAAGATGGCAGTGGAAGAGAACTCTCTAGTTTAAAAAGAGACTTAAGAGATAACTAAATGTGCAGACCTTGTTCATCTTCGTTCAAACAAACAAATATAACAGATATTTCTGAGATAATCTAGGAAATATGAACATGAAATTGCATGGTGACTACATATGAAAATGCCCACAACTTTTCTGAGATACAAGCTAAAGTATGCATGGATAAAATAATGTAATGCTTGAGATTTGATTTAAACTTATTCAGCAGAATTTCTCCTTCCAGTAATGGTGAATGAGCTTGTTTCAGACCAAACAAGAAAAGTTAGACAAAAAAAAAAAAATTTTTTTTTAATGCTTCGAGGTTTCAAAGACCCACTGAGGCAGGGGGTACTTGGGAAGTCAAGGTCACAGAAAGCACAGAAGCTCAAGAAGGTGATTGTTACGTTTGCTGCTGCTTTTCCTCTGCTGACTCTGAAGGAAAGGCAGATCGGCTGCTAAGCAGCCAAGCAGAGGTTTGGGCAGTGCCATAGATGCAGAGACAGAAACTGAGGTTCAGGGCCCAACAAGGATGAGAAGGAGCCATAATAAGCATCTCTGGCTTTTATTCTGGACCCCCGAAGGGCTACAGTCTAAAACAGTGGGAAGCCAGAAACAGACCAGCCCTCACAAGGAACAACCAGTTCAATCCAATCCTGACTAGATTAAGGGGATCTGTTTCTATCTTGACTACCAAAAGCAAAAGGTAAATTCTCCCTAAACAAAGATAACATCATCCTGAATCTCAAATTATCTCTTCAATTTTTCTACCCAATGTCCTTCATTCAGTTACATTATAAGCAGAGACACAAAAAGACAAGGACTGTCTGAAAAGCAAGAGAAAAATACAAGGAAACAGACCTACAGGTACTAAGGTATTAAGGTTCTCATACAGAGACTTCAAAGTGACTGTAATAAGTATGTTTGAGACTTACATAACAGAAAAGAATTTTATTAGCAAATTAAGAATTACATTAAAAATCACCGATGAAAATTCTAGAACTGAAAAATAGGGAACTGAAATGAAGACCTGACCAGGTTCACATCAGGTTTGGCACCGCCAAGGAAAGAACTGGTGAACTCGAAGGCAGGTCAGAAGAATTATTAATTGCAAGACATGAAGAGACAATGAACTGGAAAGTAAAGAGGGACATGGGTCTTATATATGTAAACTGGAATCTCAGATGAGAAGGGGGGAGACCAGGACAGAAGCCACACAGGAAGCCACAATGACTGAAAATGTTCGAAAGTCATGAAAGACAGCAAGTAATGGATGCAGAAGTGCTGAGAACTGCAAAAAGGAATAAGATAATTGAACA